CTCTCTCTCTCTCTCTCTCTCGCTTTTCTCTCGCGCGTCACACGCGCTTCCTTACCATCCGGCCGTTCGTCCGTGCCATCTCCAACGAGCGGTATTTCCTCTGTACAGTGCATTCCACTTTCTTCGCCAGCAGCTTTTTCAAAGTTCGAACGTGACTTGCCAACCAGGACCGTGAACGAGCAGGCACTTGCCAACGTAGTGTGTTTCTCGGATATACGGATAGGGCGTTTCCGATCCGGCGATACAAGCGGAAAGAGGGTGATTCCATGTGAAAAAAATTAAGTCGAAACGAGGGAACGAAATTTTTCTTTTTTTTTTTTTTTTGCTTCTTTTTAAGCTTCGTTTTAAATCAAGTTTGAATATTTGTGGCACGTCGCAAATTAAATTCACCTCGGACATTTATTACAATTGCTGATAATAAATGATGATGTGAAAAGGATAAAGAAATAATTACGAAAATATTACAAATAAAAAATTACTCGCTAAATGTTATTATAGATACGTCGAACGTTTCACGCATTTCTGCCTACAAGCCCAGAGAAATCCGCGGTCCATTTAAAAACAATAGAAATTCATAAAAATCCGGATAAATTCCAAAAGAGGGAATCTTCGAAAAATCAAATCATTTTTCCATCAAATACTTTTTTCTCTCCCCCCCCCCCCACGTGTTTGACGCGTTTCGTTCATCTGAACGAAAAACATCTATCCGCCGATGCATTTCCGATCGGCGAAACGTTCATATCCGATTAACGTGTTCGCCAATACTCAAGTGCATGATCGCCTAAAGCTCTCCGAATCGAATTTGCGAATTCATCCCGGCGGAAATTCTCGCAATATATCGGGAGAAAAAAATAAATTAAATTTTTTTTTTCCCCCCCGCGTTTTCCAGTTCGCATTAAACCGAAAAATAAGGAAGTTATGGTTGTTCGTAGTTTATAAACGCTGCGTCGAACAGTTTGTGATTTATTTTCAGTCACGGAGAAACTTCTTCCACCGATGAAAAATTAAATCGACCCAGTTTCCGTTTTTT